TTGAGTTAGAGCCTATGGATGTTGTTTGGTGATGGCGCACTTGCCTAGTATAAGCAGATGCTTGGCTTTTATCCTAAGCAACCCTGGGAAGAAAAACAAGACCCAAGATAGATTAATAAGTCAAGGAAATTAATTCAAGAAACGGGTAGAAATTCAGTAGAGACAAAGATTCTGGAGAAAAAAATGGGAAGGGAAAATCTCAATAAATCAAATAAAAAATTCAGCACCTTTAATCCCAGCACTTGGGGGCAGAGGCAGAGGCAGGTGGAATTCTATGCATTTGAGGTCAGTTTGCTCCACATACGAGTTCTAGGCCAGCCAGACCTGCATGCTGAGGACAGTCTGTTCTCAGGGCAGATGATCCAGGGCTGTACAAGAAAAACAGCTGAGCATGAACCTGAGCAAGACAGCAAGTGGTGCTCCTCCATGGCTCCTGTTTCAAACTACTGCCGTGACGTCCACAAGTGACAGGCTGTGACCTAGAGTGTAAGCCAGGTAACGTGGCTCCTCCCTGAGCCACTTTTGGTCATGTCTGTCACAGCAGCACAGATGAAAATGGAACAGTATGCTTCTCTGTTAATTTCCACATTATGTTTTGAAACAGGACATCTCTGGCATCGGTCTGCGCAATGCCCGCATTGTAGGTGTGCACCACCATGGCCAGTTTACTGTGTCCCCGCTCAGGCCCTCACACTGTGAGGTGGACAATTCCTGACTGAGCCATCTCCCAGCTCCCTGACTGTCTTTTCTACTTTCCATGAGGTTTTGCAGTTTGACTTTCTTCATTTTTTCTCTGTATATATTCATATAGACACTATCCTACTGCCATTTTACCTTTAAATGCTAAAGGAGGAATTCTTCTTTCATATAGGATTTACTTATGAAAGTGGATATGAAAAGTGAGTGTATGAAAGGCAGTCAGTTGTCCATGCTTCCCCTCAGACCTGTGGAAGCCCACGAAGAAGGAGCTGAGGATGAGACAGACTGGCTTCCAGATTGCCTTTCTTTTGAGACAAGGACTCACTGTGCATCTCTGGCCGGCCTGAACCTCACTATGTAGACCAGGTTGGCTTGAACTCATAGAGATCCTTTTGCTTCTGCCTCTGAGCACAGGGACTGAAGGTTTAACAATAGGTATATCAACACAAAAGGATTGTTGCAATGTTACATATTGCTTGTAAATGCTATTTTTTAATTTCAGAGATAAATGGGTATATTCATAACAGAATATAACTTTGAAATCAATTGAGTCTAACACCAAATTTCCTCTATATTTGTGTAGATGCTTTTATAACTACAGTATGCGCTAAGACATCACAAAACAGGGATCTCTCCTAGATTGAAGCTGTACAATCAATGCTGTGGAGACACTTCTGTTAGTGAATAAATAATGAAGTTCTACCAGAAAAGATGCAGAGTTAACAGAAATATTCAACAAATACAATGCTACAAATGAGTCTGAAATTAAATGAGAATTTTATCTACTATAAATGCTTTTAAAAGAGAAAGAAAATGTAGATTAGGTTCAGATACAATTATGTGACTAGAATTTTGCAGAAACTTCTGAGCAAAGACCTTTTTACACTCGCCAACTTTGAGTTGATTCTTCTAATAAACAAGGAACAACGGAATGTGTACTATTTTCTAAATGAAGGCTGGTATCTTTGTTAGGATGACTATTGTTATGATGGAACGCCATGGCCAGAAGCCACTTGGAGAGGAAAGGGTTCCTTCCCCGTGACAAACAGTTCAGTATCTAAAGCGGCGAGGGTGGCAACTCGAGCAGGGCAGGGACCTGGAGGCAGGAGCTGATGCAGAGGCCATGGCGGGAGCTGCTCACTCATCTGCTCCCCATGGCGTGCTCAGTTTGCTTTCTTACAGAGCCCAGGACCAGCTCAGAGATGACACAACCCACAATGGACTGCATCAATGATTTCCCCATCAATCGTTGATTAAGAAAATGATCTACAGGCTTGCATACATTCTAATCATATGGAGGCATTTTCTCAATCAGTTTCTTCCTCTTAGATGTTCTTGCCTGTGTCAAGTTGACAAGCCAGCACAGCTAGACAACATTTCTCACAACATTGCTACTTATTCTAAATTATGTCAGGAATATTCCTGCAAGCAGTTAAGGACATGTTTATAAAAATACACATAGCCATGACTTAAAAAACAGAGGATGGCATTTACCACATGAAGCTCATCAGTCCAAACTAATGTGGAGAATGTCCACAGCACCTACCCAAATAATGAAACAAGCCATCAAGCAGTGAGTGTGGTCCCATGACGACTGCTCTAAATACCCGTGAACACACATGCATCTAAATGCTTACACACATGGACACAGACACAAAAATGCACAAACCCCAATACGATGCTCACAGAACGTTAAAAAGTTGTCATGCTTCATATATCAGAGTGACCTCTTACATTACTGCAGTGCTTTCATTTTTCTTCAGTCAAAATATCCTACTCTCATAATTTCCATATGCATGCATATTTGGGATATGTATGAATATATGTCCATATAAAATGCATATCAGTGCATCTCTACAGAGGCTGGGAGACTTTAACCCTATACGTATTTGTGCATCTTATAACTCTAGGTCATCACTGCACCCTCTCTGGACTGCTCAACTGGATACCATGGAAGGGCTTCCATTTGGCTTTACTGCTGCCTACAGATGTGCTCAGAGTCTCTCGGTAGCAGATGCAGATTAACTTTTGTGCAATTCCCATTGGAAAATGCGCATTATCTTTTAAGTATTCAGAGTGAAAATCTCATGTTGATTTTGTAGATTTCTTTCTAACACAGCTTCTTGTACCAAAAACACACAAATACTGGTTATATGAGCTATAAAAATCACTCCGTTTTATTGGTTAAGAAATGCCTGAAACACTTAAAGTTGCTTTGATGTTTGTACTACTTAGAGTGAAGAAGAAGAAAACCAAACAAAGCACTCCACAGTGGTACACAAGCAATCCCAGCACTTGGGAGGTGGAGGCTGAGAATAATGAGTTTTGCAGTCAACTTTGGGTATACAATGAGACCCTGTCACACACACACACAAAAGGAAAGAAGGCAAACGATTAAGAACTGTATACTGAGGCCAGCTAGAGGCTCAGAGGGTGACACTCTTGCTATAGAAGCTGGCAACCCGCATTCAATCCCAGGAACCTACGTAAAGGGGAGAGAGAGAGCTGACTCCTAAAGCTGCCCTCTGACCTCCACCATGGTACAGGCGTGCCCATACGCATCATAAACATATAAACAACAGTACTTAGTATTGCTCTTTAAAGAACTGTGTATTGGTAACTCTGGGGTCACTAAGTAAACATGACAGACTTGGGGAGGTTGAAGGGACCCAGAATGTAACTTCTTTCCTCTTCACAGCTGCCTGTAAGTAACTTAAGCTCGGCATCCAGAAGGCACAGTTCTGCAGGCAGATGTCTGAGTCTGAGACCATCCTGATCTAAAAGTCAAATCCCTGTGTGGCCAGGTTACATCGTGAGTCTCTGACTCAAAAACAAACCAATGAACAACAATCACCATCTGCATAACTGAAACCCAAGAGGGCAGAGGGGCAAACACATCTCATCTGCGGCTGATGAGGCCAGCTCCGAGGAACCTAGCTTGACTGAAGGCAAGATTTTCTAACATGGAATCCTGGAATTGGACTAACCTAACCCTCCCACCCTTAGAGGCTGATCCTGCAGAGTCCTATAACTTAAACCCCGAGGGTGCAGAGGCACGGAGGAATGACTGGGACTGGGGAGGTCCTGCGCTCCTGGCGATGCCACCATACCGCCCAACTCTGGCCGCCACTCCTCCCCACTGAGTCACACAGCTGGACAGAGGGGAGATGAGCAGCTAAACTAGCTACCATTCTTTCCCTGAAGACAACCAATCAGAAGTGAAAAGAGACCATTTCAAATGGTGTCATTCTAGAAGTTGCAGTACGGGAAGTCTGTATCAGCTGACGACAAATTGAGCGTTTTCACATTTTGCAGTGAAATTTCACTGGGACAAGTGTAAGTGTGTGATGGGTACCACATACCTGACTTGCTAGGAAGAAACACAAGGAGTTCCCAGACGGGTGAGACAGATGGACATGTCACTGTAGCACATGAATATAAAAAAGTCTAAGCACTGAGAACTGCAGTAGAGGAAAGCTTCCATAATTCATAATTCATTCATTTCCCTCTATTTATCGAACACTAACATCTACCACAGTATTAATCTGTAAGTAACACCGGTGCCCAGAGTAAACAAGATTCTTCTTTCTTGGCACACAGTTTAAATGGACATTGACAGAATAATGGATGTAATTTAAAGTCGGGATGAACTATAAAGGAAAACTGTAGGATGCCCCTGATAAAAATAACAGGTGACGTGATTTTTAAACAGGACAGAGGATTGTCTAAAGAAGGAAGGGTCACTGCTCACCAAGGGCAGACAGGTAGGATAGAGAACTGACACCTTTTGGGGGAAGAGTAGTTACACAGGTCTTTAGGTTGCAGGTTTGAAGTAGCAGAGCAAGCAGGGGCCATATATTGAGGTCATTTAGGCCACAAAGACTTTAGGTTTTGTTATGTTCATTAGGAAGCCAGTGGATAGCTTTAGTAAAAGGAATGGTGGCATTCAATTTACCACAAACTGGAGGCTATCAGAGTGCAGGCAAGACAAGCAGAAAAAGGATTGTGACTGAGGCCCAGAGACTTCAACGTGGGTAAAAGCAATGGAAACAGAAGTCGAAAACTTCAAGAAAACATCCCACAGGGAAAAGAAGCAAACTAAGGAGGCGGACTGGGGTTGGGTGGAAGTCCTGACCCATGCCTGGAAAGTGGGCTCAGAGGCTGGCTCCCGAAACTGAGCTGACTGTTAGCTGCTGGAGAGGAAAACAGGAGACAGGAAGGAGAGAAGGAAGGCCTGTGCTGTGTTCTTGACAATCACATCAACAACACTGGTTTGCATAAACTATGAGTGAGGGCTTTACCTTCTGACAAGAGCTTTTTTGTTGTCATTGTTGATCCTGCTTGTTCAGTCAGGGAAATATCCTGTCAGATACATTTCTGTTTCTATTTCATTTTGAAGAATCCAAGATTAAGAAAGACAGATTCGGGGAAAAGATTTGGAAATTATGTGTAGATGATGAAACCAAGCTGCTCAGGTATCACATGGACTCCAGGCTTAACCTCTGAGAGACTTCTGCTTTGGAGGAAAACACAAAAGACAAACGAGAGAGAAGCTAGGCCATATGCAGCCGCCATGAAGTATGATATAAAAGCAAAACTCCAGTCATCTGGTAATTACAGAACATTTCTATGTGCCACTTTCTGTCCTAGAGTATCCATACACACCGAGACTGTCTATTTACTATGGCCTTGTGAAGATGGTTCCATTGTCAGCATTACTTATAAATATGGAGCCCGAGGCATAGGTCATCAATGTAGGAAATAGTAGAAATTGTAAATACTACAACCTTAGGTTGAGACTCAGAATTTTATCCTCACTTTCCTCTCAGACTCTCAGCGGCACAACCATCCATGCAGTTTCTGATGAATCATTCCAGCCTCTACATTGTATGATAACCCTGACTGGGGAAACAGGGAATTAAGAAAGGGCAGGCACACAGACAGATACACCTACAGAGAAGCTGGGATTGTGTGGGCTAGGCTAAGGGCTTCTAAGGGAGGGGAACTGGTCTGTGTAAGGCTGTAGCATCAGACTGTGATCATCAGGGAGGAAGGAGGAAGCTGCAGGTGTTAGCTTTCGCAACACTTGCCAATCATTCATTAAAAAAAACAAAAAACCACTTGCATATGGACCAGGGAGGCTTTGTCATTGCTTCTGAGCCTTACCAAGAGGAAGGCTCTGCCAGTTCCCATGGGTCAGAGGCACTTGCCATGTTCCTGCCTAAGTCCACAACATATACACTCTCGGGACTTAAACCACTCTACACACTCACTCAGGACCTGACACACTCTACACACTCACTCAGGACCTGACACACTCTACACACTCACTCAGGACCTGACACACTCTACACACTCACTCAGGACCTGACACACTCTACACACTCACTCAGGACCTAGCCTACTCTACACACACTCACGGCTTCCTCAGTTCCCAATCTCCACCTCTGCACATTAACTCATCCTACCCTATTCAAAACAGAATCTTTGAAATAAACAAGCATTGCTGTATTTATAAACAGGGAGATGTTACCTACATAAGGTCTCAGTATACCTTTGCTATTGCAAAATACCGGGGCTGGCACTCTGCATTAAGCATGACATTGAACCACCTGGAAAACAGGCAAACTTTAAAAAATATAAACCATAATCCCTGAAAAGTATTTTATACACATACACACATGTACACACGCATGTGCACACACACACACGCACATGTGCATAGGCGTGCACACACACATGTCCCTCTGGCTAGGGTTCAGGTAACCAGAGCCTCATCTTCTTATTCAACCTAATCTGAAAATACAAACTGGAAAACCCCAGAGATAAACAATTTTTACAATTTAAATAAATTATTGTAGAATATTATAATTATTCTATTTACTATTAGTTTTTATCACTTACTATGCCTACTTTATGAAATTTAACACTCACAGGAATGTTTGCTTCTACAACAACCGTGTATGCCAGGTTTGGGTCTGTGGGGAAAGGGTGACTCTTTATAAGTTACTTGCTATGCAAAGATACTTGTGAAAAATTTCAGGCTACAGTTGCCATAGGTACCTGGAACCAAAGAAATGAAAGTGGGTAAGGAGGGACTACTGAAGAAACAGACACATATACTAGTATGTTCTAGTAGGGTAACAGTAGAATTATAACAAGCAATAACTTTGCTATCCGGAAATAGGAGGGCTCATTTGTGTGGTCAAAACCGAGGGGTGCTCTGAGCACATAGCAGCTACTAAATAGCTTACAATGCACAGGACCAACACCTAACACAAGGATAATCTGGCCTAAGTAGTGTCAAGTCTTGGAAATCCTGCTATAGAAATAATATCTACTCTGAAAAAGAGACCAAATCTGAAAATTTAAGAGAAATGCAACTAGTAGAGAAATCAATATACTTTTAAACATATAGATGGGTTTAAACTTTCCCACATTTACAAATGAATTTTGATTTTGTTTCTCTCCTAACAAAGGGACATTTATAACAACAACCTTACATTCAGGGATGAGGGGAGAGTACATACAAGGCCTGAGTCAGCCCCACAGTGTCTCAAGGACAAATTCTGAAGCTGCCCCCACCACCCTACACCTTCTGAGTCATGTCTGGACTTGCCCAAGCTTGGGCAAGTATGTCCAAATTAAAAGTTTACTAGTGTAACCGCTGCTTGCTTAATCAATTATTTATGAGATGACCTAACTGTCCCTGAAACTCTCCTAGCTGTGCTTAGAAGGAGCATGCACACTCCCCTCAGGACTGTCAACATTTTATACAGATGTTTGACCCTGGGTACTGCAATAAAATCTCTTTGTCTTTTCATACTATTTGAGTCTGGGGTCTTCCTTCAGTGTTTCCTCTGACCCTTTCTCTCTCTCTATAGATATAGATACAGATATAGATATACATAGACATATACATAATTTTATATAGTTATAATCCAATTTTAAAATATAATCAGTTTAATTTCTACCTTTTTGATGTTCAATAAATCCAGTATTATTTTTTATCTTTGATTTCTTGCTATTTCATTAATGACAAGTTGATCTTTTTTCCAATAGTCTCAATGTTCAATACTTTAATTTTCTTTACAACTAGGGATTTTTAATTAAATGCTCTTCTACAGCAAAAAGTATACATATAAAAAGATTAAAATGTAAACTGGTAGGTATTAGCATCTCGTTAGTAAGTACTAAAATAAGGGATGCACCAGGCACACACATTGGTGCTTCTTTCGAAAATTTTCTGTCACCATGTGTCTTTACATTCTCTCAGATTTGTGAGTTTCACCTTCACGTAGGGGAAATGTTTGTGACCACATGACAAAGCTGGAGCTCTCACTGGAATCCTGTGACAGCCAAGGACATGACACCAATGGGCTCTGCCATTTAACAAGTCTAAGAAGACAATAAGCAGACATCATCACAGAAACTCATCCTCATCCGCACACTGCCCAAGAGCCTATTATTTGATGCTTTTAGAGCTTAACACAAAATTAAATTGCAAATATTTTCTCACAGTCTCTTACAGTGGTGGCTAGGGGCAATGCACCGTTAATATGAAGCATTTGTTCAGCTCAGGTAGATATATTTCCTGTGTGATTTATGTGGAAGCAAGCTCTGTTGACTTCTCTATGTATTCAGTAATTTGGTTGACTTTTCTATGAATCCCAGTATCTTCCTTAAAACAACACCAGCAAATGTGATCACAAAATGTCAAATAATCATCAAAAAGTAAAAAAATAACAATAAAAAGAATTGAAGGTGCTGGGTGGTGGTGGCACACGCCTTTAATCCCAGCACTCAGGAGGCAGAGGCAGGCAGATCTCTGTGAGTTCGAGGCCAGGCTGGACCGACAGCCTCCAAAACAATACAGAGAAACCCTGTCTCGTAAATACCAAAAAAAATAAATAAATAAAAGAATTGAAGGTCTTTTCTCCTAGTATTGATGGCAATGTAATTTCAAACACCAGTCATAACTATATTATACTAAAAGAGAAAAAGCACAGAAGTACTTACTCCACATAGAAAACCTTCCTATTTCTTTTATTTTTGGTTGTGAGCCTAGCCTTTAACGGCTGAGCCATTTCTCCAGAACACATTTCTATTTCTTAGGAGTCAAACCTGAGTAACACATTTTAAGAAGACTGTAGGTTGTAACTTTTATCCTAGACTGTAGAAACATTAAATAAAATGTTAGGACTGACACAAAGGGGAGTAATATTAACTACTGAGACAGATGAGAGTGATAGCCTGTGAGATAGAAAGGAAGCTTGAATTCCCGATATGCCCTGTGCATTGTGACCAGACGTGCAGCATGTTCTGGCCAGGAAAGGGTTTGCTATCAGCAAGTTTCAGGATACACATAGATGCAAATGCTGTCTCTATCTGGGGCTTTAAAACCACACTCTCAGCTTTATACTGAAATCCATTTAACATTCAAAACACTATTAGATCTTATGTACAGACAGAGTAGCAAATGCTTACCTCAAGCATTCAGCATCATGTTGAGGCTTTTCCTTGATTTTTGTTTTTTCTGCCTCTAGATATCTGGTGGTATAAATGGCTTCAGTCTCTTCATCTTTAAGAACTAAACAATTAAGAAAATTTCTATAATCATTTAAGAATTGAAGAGGTTGCCGGGCAGTGGTGGCACACGTCTTTAATCCCAGCACTCGGGAGGCAGAGGCAGGCGGATCTCTGTGAGTTCCAGGCCAGGCTGGACCGGCAGCCTCCACAACAATACAGAGAAACCCTGTCTTGTAAAAACCAAACACAAACAAACAAACAAACAAACAAAAAACAAAAGAATTGAAGAGGTTATCTTTCATCACTTATGAAAACTCTTATTTTGTGTTGTGTGTCAAACATACATGAAAATTATTTTTATTCTCTAATTTAACATAGCAGTTAGAGGCACAGAATTTGGACGTAACAAATGTCAGCTCTGGCCAGGCCTGATGATGCAGGCCTAAAATACCAGCTATATAAGAGGCTAAGGCAGGAGAGTTGCAAGTTCAAGACCAGGATGGGCAAGTTAAGCCCTTTCTTGAAACAAAAAATAATAAAGAAAATCGATGCTACAGCTCTGTAGTAGAGTTCTTGTGTAGCTTGTGTCAGGCTCTAAACTCAATGCCCATAACTGGAAAAACAAAACAAAATGACCAAAAAGAAAAAAAAAGAAACCCCATCCAGCTGTAACACTAAAGCATTCAGTTGTATGTTCTAAACATTACTTCTACAGAGCAGCAGGAGCACCACCCACCAGGACAGTGTGTCTTTAAATACCAACCCAACACAGTCATATGCACAGCCCTGCATTTACTAGCAGGACAAATGGACTCATGAAGCGAATACCTTTAAGCTTTTTCTGGAGAGTAAATAACTCTTGTAACAGTTGACTTTTTTGTTTTTGAAGTTCCTGCAAGTGACCACTGTTACATTCCATTGACTTCATTTCTAGAAACAAATACAGTCATCATCAAAAAGTTACCCAGGAGTGCATTTAATCAAAGTAATTAACAATGTGTACACTGAAAACCATCACTGATGAGAGACAACAAAGACACAACTAAACCAAACAACCCCATTCACGAATCAGAATCAATACTTCTAAACTACCCAAATTTCCCAGTGCAGTGCCATCCCCCATAAAATCTCTAATGGTATTACTCACAGAAATATAAAATACAAAACTGAAAATATACAGAAGCAAATAGAGGAAAGCATTCAGGTTGTGGAGTTTTTAAATATGGCATTAATGATTAACCTTTTGTCATTCAATAAAAATATAGGCAGCATGTGGTCAATTTAAAGTCCCAATTGGACTCCATTGGCCACCTAAGGAACTCACTTTAGTAAACTCACCAGCATTAATCACTAGTGTGATAGGTTATTTAGGCTAACAAAAGGGATGCAGTGTAAACAGTAGTTTCTGTCCTCCTGGTCCTGCAGCCATTCAGTCCCAAATAAACACACAGAGGCTTATATAAACTATAAACTATTGGGCCAATGGCTCAGGCTTCTTATTGGTTAGCTTTCTCTTAATTATTAACCCATTTCTATAAATCTGCGTATCTTCACATGGTCTTGGCTTACCAGTGATGCTCAAGTCTCTTGCTTTCTCAGCAGCTACATGGTGTCTTTCTTGTGACTCACTCTCTGTCTTCCTCTTCCCAGAATTCTCCTAGCCTGGTAGCCCTGCCTAAACTTCCTGCTTGGCTACATGCTGCCTGTCCATTGGCTGAAACAACTTGATTCATCAACCAATAAAAGAAACAGATATTCACAGCATACAGAAGGACATCCCCCATTATCTCCTCTTTACTGTCTAAATAAAAAGGAAGGTTTTAACTTTAACACAGTAAGATTACATATAACAAAACAGTTATCAAGCACAAACTATATTTAGCAATATTTAGTCCATTTACAGTTGGTAAAATTTAAAGAAAATGTTCTTTCATCTAACCTAACTTTGACTCTAAAGTTTTATATGTAATTTATCTTTTATCATAACTAAAGAAGACTATAACCATAACTAACTGTCTTCAATGCCATCAAAGACCCCAGAAGGATAATATATAAACCCTATAATTGACAGAGACTTCTCACTGCCTGAACAGTAACCTAAAGTTCCTCTGTAACATTAGGGCATCCATCTTCAGTCCATAGACCCAAAGTGTCTGGCAGACTTCTGTGAAGTGAGAATCTTGAAAGACCATTCTGTCCCTTGTCAAGTTCAGCAGTCACTTTTCCTTGTAACCTGCTTGTCCAGTTTGGACACTGTGCTTACTGTCAGCAGTTGAGGCAAGGGCAGTTCTTTACCCAACAGGCCAGTTTTGCCACACTGAAAGAAAACTTCATAATGAGTTTCTTCAATGCCCATCTTCCTCTCTGATATAATTGGTGTTTCCAGAACAGTGTGTCTCATTGTCATGATAAACACTAATAAACAATTTTAAATACAATAGGTCTTTGAAAGTTTTGAAGAATACCTATCCATTTGAAATATATCTCTGTATATCTAGAAGACCTAGCTAATAACCTGACTACAAGTTTTAACTATTATAAGTGACTATAATCTGTATTTAATTACACATTTTCGAAGGAGCTATATAAACACAATACCTAAGCAAAAGTAGAAATATACATATAACAAAATTGGCCTTAAATTCGTATCAATAAACCAAAATCCACACCAATGCAAGGTATTCATTTCTTTATCATATTCCCTTTTTTCTTTAGAAAGAGATTGACTGTGATCATTAATCATTTATAACCAACTATATCTCAATTAAAACAAACATTTATAAATGATATTTGGGAATTTGGTTGTAGTTCTCTCCAAACTGCCCCCTGCTATTTGAGAATGTTGTCAACCCCAAGGAGATTCTGAGGAAACCCAGAACCATGGCCAAATCCTGGCTATAGAATAGTCTGTGAGGCTGCACGGTCTCAGCTGTTCCAATGGATTTCTTCTCTCAGCTGTGATCTCTGCAGGATCACAACCCTGAACATTTCTTGTTCTGAATGTCTAAAATCGTGTTTTCACATTATTTTTTTCCCAGTCACCCAGCTGTTTGTGATAGGAGGGAGATTCTATGAAACTGCTCTTTTGCAATCACCAGTGGAAGTTAACTACACAGCATTCCTATCACCCTTTCTCGGATCTCTTCTACACCACATTGCAAGCGCCTCGGAACATGACCTCGGCCATCCTGCAACCTCAGCTCTTGTTTCTGGCACAGCATATGCACAGCACAAAACAGTCCATGAGAAAGCATGTGCAACTCAATTTAGTAATTGGCATTAACTATTTGTTTCTACCAGAGGAGATGGCTCAGGGGCTAACAACACTCGCTGTTTCATAGGACCCATGTCTGGTTCCCAGCTCATGACCATCTGTGACTCCAGTTCCAGGGATCTGACCCCACTTCTGACCTCTTCTGGCTCCTGAACGCGTGTGGCACATAGACACTTAGAGATAAACACACCAAGTAAAATAAAACTATCCTGTTTGAAATATTTCTTTCTGCTCTTTAATTAAGCAAAATTTCTGTGGAAAGGAAATCAACAGCCTCACAGCTATCCTCTGCTTCTTTCATAATGAAAAAATACAGGAGCACGCTAATTGCTAAGTGATGACTCCAGGACACCAACGACTCTTAAGAGAAGAAAGACACTGCAGCCTCTTTCAGCATTGTCCCACAACAGCTTCATAATGCTTAAACAAGAACGATGGAGAAATTTCAGATTTAAATATTCCCGAGACAGGATCCTCCGTCTCTAGGCTAAATACTTTAAAGTTTTATTGTGTTTGCAGTGAAAAAATAGGTGTGAGGAAATGCAGACAACCAGAAAGGAAGATCTGGTGCAATGCTCTTCCTTGATGGACAGGGGTTTTAAGAGTCCATGTGTCTTCCTCGCAAACAGACACGGTGGCAGATAGGTCCACAACTTTGGGGTAAGCACGTCCGTGGTCTGGCCTCAAACATGGCCAACAGGCCCACAGGCCGGGAGCCCTCCTGACAGGGAAAGGCCCTGATAGGCTTTAGTCTCAGGTCTGAAGAGAGAAATCCACCCATCTTGATAGCTCACCATCTTGATATCTGGCCATGGCTCCTGTCTCTGGAAGACTGCTTCTTAAAGGACAAAAGAAAACAAATGTACTGCTTCCCAACGAAGCTCCCAGAATCCAAAGAATTAAACCCTGTGTTTTAGGGTAAGCTTTCCTCACCATCTTTATACTGTCTCCTTTTATATTTTAATTTACAGGTTTAACTGAGTTACACCTGATAGAGTAATCACTTAGTTTCTTCCTTGGCCTGAAAGTTCAAAGCTTCCATCAACAACTATGATGTTTTTTGTTTTTCTGGGTTTTGTTGGTGGTGGTGGATTTTGAAACAGGGTCTCACTATGTAGCACAGGCTAATCTGAAACTTGCTGTGTAGACCAGACTGGCTCTAACTCCCAAGTTCGCCTGCCTCTGTGAATGCAGGTTTCTCTGTCCTGTCCCATCCCACAGCCCCTTCTAAATAATCACTCAGAGGCTTAATATTAATTACAAAATGTTTGACCTATTAGGTCAGGCCTATTCCTAACTAGCTCTTACATTTAAATTCACCCATTTCTATTAATCTATGTGTCACCATGTGGCCTGTGACTTACTGGTTTTCTGACTCTGTTCCTTGGACACCTGGATGGCGTCTCTCCTTCTCCACCCTTCCTTCTCCTTTTGGCTTTCCCACCCAGCATTATTCTGCTTGGCTATAGGCAGAATCAGCTGTTATTATCAACCATCGAGAGCAACACATATTCACAGCATACAGAAGGATTATCCATAGCATGCCTCTCTAGGTTTTATGGCTATAAATACTAAACCAAACTAAGATCAGCAAATTTCATTCTCATTTTTAACAAGAATGTTTGCCCATATGTCTAATACAAATCATTAATAGACTAATTAATAATAGATTATTAGGCACAGTCAAAGTGAAATACATATCTTATTTCCTATCCAGGAAAAAACTGATTCAGCAATTGAGAGAAGTGCACACAAGAAATACTTGGAGAAAACTGTTATGACAATCATGGAAGCTATTATTCTGAAGTCAAATGATGAACATATACATTTTCAAATGTTTGAAATAAATATACTTCCACAAATATATACATCAAACACCAATCATTCCACATTCCTAATTACTCAGGCTGCAAATGCTGGCTGTAACATCTCTTCTCTATCACATGGATCGTCACAATAGATCCAGAATCAACACTGTTGACGCTCTGTTGCTATAACCCTATTCCGATTGCAACATCTCTTGCCTAGATCCCTGCTGCTCTCTCCTGCTCACTCTACATCTCCCTGTTTGGGTTCCTCCTTCTCTTAAGAATGCTCTCAGTAGCTATCAGAATGATTTGTCTGTCTGTCCATCCATTTGTCTATCTACCTACCCACCTTATGTGTATGTGTGTGCACCACGTGTAGGCACAAATGCCCTCAGAGGCCAAAGGTGGTGGATCCCTGCAACTGGAATTACATGTGGTTCTGTTCTTTCAGATTCACGCGAGACATTTCTAGGGGCCATGCACACTGTAGAGAAAGGAACTGTTCAGCTTGGAGCAAACAGTGGAGACACCAGGGCAGCTTTCACGCCCACTGTCTTTGGGCTCGTCAGGGTTTGCTCTTCCATTCCTGCTTTTAATTTGTGCCACCACATTTGTTACCCAGACACTTTTCTCTCCCCACTCTTCTATCTGCCCTTGGCTGCCTCTGCTTTCAATCTTCCTTTTATCTATCCTGTAACAGTGATGAGCCTGACAAACTCACTGAGTTTTGAATAATCTCCATTTTGTTTTACTTCTGGTTGTTATTATTATATCCTTCTACTCGAGTATCTCCTTTCTCTGCCAGACATCTTCCTTGGTTTACTTTTATTTATGAGTGTGTATGAATA